CTCCTCGGGGCCCCTTCTGTCCTTTCTCGCCTTCTCCTCTACCACCCCCTTTTCTCCTTCCGTTTCTTCCTCCATCCCTTCCATTGCCATGTACGCCCATCCTTCCTCCACCCGATCCTCGTACTTTTCCTCCATCCTAGCCAGTACCTTCCGGTGCCACTCAGCTGACTCGAACTCCCGGTTACGTTCACTGAGCGCGATGTCCCGCTGCAGCTCCTTCGCCTTCAGGTGCATTCGAATGGTTTCTATCAACCAGGTCAACACGTTCATGTCCATGGCTCTCCCCATGGTCGCACGACGTTGCAGTTCTGTCACTTCAGGATGCGCGGTCCCTCCCCACAGGTGCCCCATAGCTGCTTCTCTCTCATTCGCCATCGGTTGCTCCCACCTCCCCTTCCTGACATCATAGATCATCCCCGGCCCTGGCAGCTCTCCCTCCATGAGTAATCCTCGGGCCTCCGTGTACGACACCAAGGTCGGCAACGCTTGTCTTGGTTTCCCAGGCTCGTCGCATTGATACTGCGAGGGGTGATCGGGACGAGTGACTGGAGAAGGCATGCAGTTCGGCTCCAACATGTCGCTCACCAACCTCGGTTCTGGCCGTTGCATCAGAGCCAGCGAATGGCGCAACGCCGCTGTCGACATTCCGTTCTGCTAGTATCTCCTCGGTCGGTGTGCCCGAGATCCCAGCTGGGCCGCGTCGGCTGGCACTCCCCTCCCCAATACTTCGAATATCTCAGCGAACGCCCGCTTCACGGGCTCTCTCTTATCCTTCGCCAGGTCAAAATTCTCCAGGATGTACAAGACCTCCCCTTAGCGCCTCTGTATCGTCTCCAATACACGCCAGAGGTTCCGGAATGACGCTCCCCGCGCGTCTTCCATCCCCCTTCCTTCCCCTGCCCTCGAATACCCTTGGCATTCCCATCCCGCTATGACCAGATCCACTTGCCCCCAGTCATCTAGCACCCTCTCTGTGATCTCCCTAACATCGTGCACCCCCTGTTCGGATTCTGGAGGGATGGCTGTCTCCCACATCTGGTCCGGGTACTCTTCGCCTAGCAGCAGAGCGTGATGTCGGGCCATTTTCCTCACTACGGGGTCGCTTTCCACGTGGATCCACTGCTTAACCACGCACCCTGCCCGGAGGAACCCCTCCAAGGCCCAAACTCGGCTGACCCGCTCGGCCAAGGCAGGCGGGTCCTGACCCGCGGTTAGTCTCTCTATCCTCCGTTCATGCTCTTCCCCGTACTTCTCCCATGGCCATTCGTCCAGCTCTTCGGTCAGGTCCTGCTTCCACGCCTGATAGGCCTCCCGCGGCTCTTGCCTAACGAACCTTACCGGTAGCGTGCCCACCGAACTCTCAGGGTCCCAATGCTGCACCTGGTACAAGACCTTCTCCTGCCACGTACATATGGTAGCTCCTACGCGGTATAAGAGCTCCATCCCGACGAGCATATCATAGTCCTCCGACTATGATATCCTGCATTGCAAGCGGATGCAGCACTCCTTCTCGGTTCCTGGTAGCAGCACAACCTCGACTGGTCTTCGCGTCTTCGACATCCATTTAGGCTCCACTCCTTTGGCGGTCATTAACAGGATCCCTCTCTCCACCGTCTTTCCAGAATGATCCAGCTTCAGCTGCTTTGCAAGTCCTTTCCCAATCAGTACATGGTGTGTGCCCGTATCGATAATGGTCTGCTTCACCGGCAGTCTGCCCACCGTGATACTTCCTTTTTCCGCGATCAATACGGATGCCTGACACACGAGCCTCTCGTTCGGGTGCCTCCGCAACTCCTGTTGCCGTGTCCGCTCCATCTGGCTGTTACGCTGGCGGGGTCCGCTGGTCGCGTCGCTGTCCTGAGACTAACTGGCGCTCAGGCGCAGGCGGATGTCATCTCGTTCTCTGGGGTACGCCATCACGGTGTACTCTCTCTTGTAGTCGTCCTATCCCTCCTCCTCCTTCTCGATCTCCTCGTACGCCAGGAGTGCCCGTGTCTTAACCTCTTTCAGATTTGGCAGCTGCTCCAGTCGTAGCTGTAGGTGCCTAACATCGGCTTGCAAATCCTCTCTGGTTGCCCCCAGCGATTCTCTCTGCCGGCTGTAGCATTCTTCCTTTCGATGCCCTCTTTTTCCGCATTGCTCGCATACCGGTGCCTTGGGGCAATCCCGCTTCAGGTGGCTGTGCTCTCCGCAAGTATGGCAAAGCCGCGGGTAGGTACGACTGCTGCTTCCTGCTGTAGACTCTGGCACGGCTACTGCCACCCAGCTTGTCTTCGCTCGACTCTTCCCCTCCGTGTCCTCCAGATCTAGCAGACGCTGCGGTTGTTCAGTCTTCTTAGCTAGCTGATATACTTCCTTCAAAGTAATATCCGCGCCAATGCCATACACGGTACTCCGCACGACTCCCCTCAGCTCTTCCTCCAATCCTCTCACGAACTTCCGCACTAGCAGCCTCTCGTCCCTGCTTTCCAGATCCTCGGCCAATTCACGAAGGCGGTAGTAATATGCCAGGAGGGACTCATCCTTCTTCCGGCGGAAGTCTCGAAACTCTTCCACCCGTGCCTTCGTCTGCCCCACGAACTCTTTCCGCAGCAGCTCAATGAACTGCGCTGTGGGGTTAGAAATCTCTCCTTCTGCCAGTTTTTCTAACACCTCGTCCCGCGTCATCCAACAAAACGTCTCTGCTTCTCCCGATAGCGTTCCCACCATTTTCCTGAAGAACTCCGCTGGGTCGTATCCGTCTCGTTCCCAACAGTGCTGCACCGTCTCGAGCTGCATGAGGTAATTCTTCAAACTCGGTCCCACGTCTGGGATGCCGGAGTAGCGCTCTGCTATCTCCACTTTTGGTAGGTTAGTAGCCTTCCAACGTCCGCCTCGATTCGGCGAAGCTTCACTCGGGTCTTCGGGTAACTGCGCGTTCCCACTGGCTACCAACACGGCTCTTTTCGGCGTCCGCGTCGGCTGTCCAACGTTCGGGGTCCTGCACGCGTCCGGCGGGTCTCTCTTCGTCAACATTCTGGGCATACCGGTTAGCGGCGTCACTACCTCTTGGCCCCGCCATCGCGCCCGTACTTTCTCCGTCCATCGAGTATCTCGCGGCGAATCTCCGGGGTCCGAGACAGCGACGCGGTCCCGGTCCATGCTGTCGGCTGCAGCCCAGGCTCGTGATGGGGGATTCGGTATCTCGGCGAATCTGTAGTCGGACGTGATGGGCCTGGCCTCCCGCTTGCAGCGACTGCGTCAGCGCGCCAACCTGCGGTAGGCCTAGGTTCCCCGGTATCGTCCCACAGTCGAGTGCGTACGATTACTCTTTGTTAGAAAGCTCTCGGGCCACTAACTAGATCTGAGGCTCAAACCCTAGCTCGGTAGACTGGATTGCCAAGCGAATGCTCCTAATCGAGTGCTTGCACCGTTTGGCTTCGCTTGCTTAGTGTCTTACAGGCTGGTAAGAATGTTTAAGCATAAGTGTGAAAATAATTACGCAAGCACTGATCCTACACTGCCTACCTGCTTAAGTATCTCATGCGAGTTACCGTTGCTCTAACGGTACCAATTCGCCTATCGGATCTCAATTTAGGTTTCGCTCGCTTCGGCCTTCTACCGTGCTGTTACTATTCTCGCTATTATTTCGCTTCTTATCCTATAAGTTACGGGTTTGTATCTATTATTTCTACGTAAATATTAATATCGTGACAACTGTCGGAATCTTCAGCTCCTCTGCTGCTCCAGTGCCCTTGCCTGCCTTACTCCCTCCCCTTTTCTGCCTCCAGCCTTCACCCCTTTCCCAGCAAGCTCCTCAACTCTCAGTTCATCTTCCCTTGGTGTCTAGCTGCTCCCTGCACTTGCCCCCTTCGCGGCTGCTCTACGGCTTCTGCCAGTTGTCGCTGGATATCCTGCCCGTGTGACTGTGTATGCCTGCGTTCCTTAGGTCTGGCCCGAGCCTGCGCCACGTTAGTGTAATGATCCATCCTCCGCTGCCCCTTGTCACTGACCAACACCACCACCCCCGAGTCTGTCAAACAATAGGTTTGTTAGGCTACAGTGGGTTAGCCTATATGGGGTACACAATTCTAGGGTTTGCTATTTGTACTGATTTCTCTGTTAGTTCAACCATTCCAGTCTCTTCTTCTGACATGGTTTCAGAGCAGGTCCTTCGCTAGGACCGTTCTTAGGGCCCACCACTGAATACCTACCTACCTATCTACTGTCGGAGTGCTGCGTTAGCGCCTCCCCCTCTCAGCGCCCTAGTGCGCCCTCGTGTACGGCCCCTTAAGGCTTCGTTGACCCCGCGCGCCGCCCCTTAGTGACCCGCGCGTCGCTCCTTAGAGGCCCCGTCGACCCGCGCGCGCCCCGCTTAAGGCCCCGTTTGGCCCCGTCGACCCGCCCGCGGCCCGCTTAGTGGCCCCGTTTAGCCCCGTCGACCCGCGCGCGCCCCGCTTACGGCCCCGTTTGGCCCCGTCGACCCGCCTGCGCCCCGCTTAGAGGCCCCGTTTGGCCCCGTCGACCTGCGCGCGCCCCGCTTACGGCCCCGTTTGGCCCCGTCGACCCGCACGCGCCCCGCTTACGGCCCCGCTTGACCCGTCGACCCCGCGCGCGCCCCGCTTAGAGGCCCCGTTTGGCCCCGTCGACCCGCACGCGCCCCGCTTACGGCCCCGTTTGGCCCCGTCGACCCGCACGCGCCCCGCTTACGGCCCCGCTTGACCCGTCGACCCCGCGCGCGCCCCGCTTAGAGGCCCCGTCGACCCTATCCGCCGCCCCAAAGCGGCTCCGTCGACCCTACCCGCCGCCCCTACCCGCACCGCACGCGACAGCCGCGGCCCCGCCAGCAACAGGCCGCCCGAACCGAGCCGCCCAGTCCGAGCCGAGCCGAGCAGCCAGAACCGAGCCGCGCCGCCCGCACTGAGCAACTTCTCTGGACCGAGCCGCCCTACCTGCGTCGCGCTGCCCACTGCGTTTAGGACTCACTTACTGCTACTGCTACGGCTACTCCTACTGCTACTATGGCTACCCCGCCTGTACTAGCTTTCGATGCTGAGGGCCGCCCAGTGAAGTTTGATACTTGGCTTGATGACCTGCACCTCTTCCTACAGCTCACTACCAAGGAGGATATCTCACTGTATGACCACGCCCTCGGCCATGCTCCTGCCCCTGCTACTGATGCTGACAGCACTACCCGCTCCCAGTGGCAGACTCGTGACGCCCACGCTCGCTTTGCCATCCGCAACTCCCTGCCGTTAGATGAGCGCGAGCACTTCGGCCAGTGCAAGACTGCTAGGGACCTCTACACCGCTGTAGTTGCCCGTTACTCCTCACCCGCTTCTGCTACGCTAGGCCGCCTCACTCTTCCCTACCTGTTCCCCGACCTAGCCTCCTTTCACACTGTCGCAGACCTCATCACCCACCTTAAGACTAGTGAGGCCCGCTTTCGCGCTGCTATGCCTGCCGAGTTTCTCACTAGCAACCCCCCCCCCGCTCTGGATCACTCTCTACCACATCGTCACCCGCCTCCCTGACTCTCTCCGCGCAGTCAGGGACCACTTCCTCTCTCGCTCCCCCACTGAGCTCACCGTTGACCTCCTCGAGAAGGAACTGCTTGCAGCTGAGGCGAGCATCGTCGCTGTAGGCACCTCTCGTGGCGACCCCCGCACCCCGTTCTTTGAGGGGTGTTCCCCTTCCCCCCTCCTCCCCTCTGTCGCCTCTGCTGCTGCTGTCGACCTCCTTGGTGCTGAGAAGGTCGGGACCGCGTCTGCTTCGAGCGGGCGCCGCAGGGGCAAAGGGGGCAGGGGCGGGGGTGGCGGCGGAGGAGGTGGGGGTGGAGGCGGTGGGAGTGGAGGCGCGGCTGAGGAGGCTAGTGGCGGCAGTGGGGGAGGCGACAGCAGCGGCGGGAGTGGTGGCAGGGGCGGAGGCGGCAGCGGAGGCGGAGGTGGTCGTGGTGGCGGCAGGGGTGGAGGTGGCCGGGGCGGAGGCGGAGGGGGTGGTGGTCGTGGAGGCACTGGCGGAGGGCAGAGTCAGCAGCCCACCCCGACGCTTCACCACTAAGAGGGTGTTGCGCTACTTGTGCAGTACGTCGGGCATGGGGCTTGTACTTGGAGGGCGAGACCGAGTTGTGCTCACAGGGCACTCAGACGCTTCTTGGGCAGACGACCAGGCCACTCAGCGGTCGTCTCAGGGTTACACCTTCAGCCTTGGCTCTGGCTCAGTTTCTTGGCGCTCTACACGCTCTTCTTCTGTTCTCGGCTCCAGTTGTGAGGCTGAGATCTACGCTACAGCCATGGCTGCCCAGGAGCTACGCTGGCTGACCTACCTGCTGACTGACCTCGGAGAGCCGCCTCGTTCTCCTCCAGTACTGTACGTCGACAACAAGGCTGCCATTGCCTTGTGTGAGGAGCACAGACTGGAGCACAGAACGAAGCACATCGCCCTGCGGTACTTCCTTGCTCGAGAGTTGCAGCAGCGCGGTCAGCTTTGTATTCGCTACGTGGCCACTGAGGCCAACACTGCTGATGTGTTCACTAAGGCGCTTCAGCCTCGTGACCATCAGCGCTTCTGCACTCTACTAGGCCTTGTGCCTACTGGACCTCACTTGCTTACCTCTTGACTTTGCTTGTACTGTGATCTCTATATATATATATACCTGCATGTTTACTCTTGCTAGGTTGTGATCGCTGTATCTCTGGCTCTGTTATAAACCTGCATGTGAACTGGTCTTGTGACCACTAGCTTGTGCTCAGAATTTGTGTGGAATCCTCGAGATCCACCCTGAGCTTGTTGTTGCCTTGACTGGTCTTGTGACCCTTAGGTCTCCCCCACTTTGCCTATGGGGGTGTGTCAAACAATATATATGTTGAGTTTGTTAGGCTACAGTGGGTTAGCCTATATGGGGTACACAATTCTAGGGTTTGCTATTTGTACTGATTTCTCTGTTAGTTCAACCATTCCAGTCTCTTCTTTCTGACAGAGTCCTTCACTTCTTTCACTCTCCAGCGTTCAGGGCTCAGCCCTATATCCATCATGTCCTTCTTCGCCTGCTTTAGATACACCTCCTCCCCAGCCCCCAAGACCTTTTCATTCTTCTTAGCGTGCAGCTCCCCCCTTTTCTTGTACCTCTGCGCGTCCCTCAGTTGTGCCGCGTGTAGATTTTCCAACGCTGCGGGTAGCAGCTCTCGCAGGTACCTGGCTCTCGCCTCTGCCAGCCCCACCCAATCCTCCTCCTTGTCCACCCTCACTGACCCTGTCAGTATCTTCGGTGCATCCACGGGTAACACTTGCTCGCGTCCCAGGAGAAGGTAGTAGGGTGACATGTCTCGCAGCGCTGCCTGCTTGCTGAATTGGTAGCCCGCTACCACCCACGGCAGCCGCGCGTCCCAGTCCCGTTTGAACCGTTCCCCATATGCCCTCAGCCCTCGCTTTACCGTTTGCGCGAACCTCTCTGTGAGCCCATCGCTCTGCGGCAGTTATCTAGAGGTCCTACGATGGGTGATGCCGGTCGCTTGCAGTAACTTGTCAAACTCTCCCATGAATTCAGTCCCCTGATCTGTCAGCACCTCCCCACACGCCCCGAACCTGGTAAGCACCTGTTCTTCGAAGGCTTCTGCTATCCCGGCCGAGTTCTTGCTGCCGTGCTCGATCATAATCAGGATGTACCTCTTTCCTTTCCGGCTCAATGGCATTTCTCCCACCAGGTCAAAGGACCATCTGAACCCTATCCCATGGATGGGCAACGACTGCAGCTCCTTCCGGCCCCTTTCCAGCTCGGCTCGATTCTTGCTGCAGAGCTTGCAGCCTTCCACCCACTCTCTAATATCCTTCAGCATCCCATCCCACCACCATCCGGCCTCCACCAGCTGGGCCGTTCTCAGACTTCCATAGTGCCCCAGCTGCCGATGCATGCTCCGTATAATCTGCACCCGCTCCTCCTTACGTGGTACTAGCTTCCAGCCGTTGCGCGTGTTTTTCTGCAGCTGCTCCTGGTGCCAACGGTAGTGCGCCCCTTGTGCTCTGGCTCTCTCACTCACGGGAGTGGCTTCTGTAGTCAGACTTCCCGATCGTTCCAGACATCTTCCGGTCCCTTCCCTTTTGCTCGGCTGGCTCCCTCCTCATCTATTCCTCTCGCCAATGCGACTAGGCACGCCGTGGGTCGGTCTTCTGGCGGATTCCGTGAGAGTCCATCGACATGCTGCATGGTCTTGCCCGCACGGTGCCTGATCGAAAAGTCGTACTCTTGGAGCCTCATCGCCCAACGTGCATTCCTCCCTGTCAGCGCCTGATTGGTCATCAGCCAGGTTAACGGCTGATGATCGGTCACTAACTCAAAAAATCGTCCCTGTAAGTATACTCGGAAGTGCGTAATCGCCCACACGGCTGCCAGGCCTTCCCCTTCGGTTGCAACTCCGGCTTGCAACAGCCACCACTTTCTCTTCGCCTTCTCGCTTCTGGCACAGAATTGCCCCCATCTCTGCGCTGCTCCAATCGGTATAGAGCACGAACGGATCCTCCTTGTTCGGCAGCGTCAGCACGGTGGCGGTCTTGACTGCTCTCAGCAGAGCGTTCAGCGCTTCCTGTTCCGCTTCCTCCCACTGCCACTTCTGGTCTTCCCTCAGCAATCTGTTTAAAACCGCTGCGGTTTGACTGAAGTTTGGTATAAACTTCCGATAGTTGAGAAACCCCAGCATCGCCCTCAGTATGCTCCGGTCCTTCGGCGGTGGGACCCGGTCCAGGACCTCTACCTTTGCTTGCTGAATCCCCAACCTTTCCCCTTGTACTTCGAACCCCAGATATTTCACCCCCCTGGTACCGAAACTGCATTTCTTCGGGTGGCAGGTGAGCCCGACGTCTCTGATGGCGTCCAGCGTGGCGTTAACGTCTTTCACATGTTGCTCCGCGTCAGGGCTGAAAACTACTACATCATCTATGTAGCATGCCGCTGCTGGTATCTCCCGCAGCACCGTGTCCATGATTCGTTGAAACAGAGCCGGCGCGTTCCTCATCCCAAACGGCATGAACCGCCACTCATACAAGCGATCTGGCCCAAGAAACGCCGTTTTCTTGCGATCGGCCAGCCGTATCGGGATCTGGTTGAATCCTTATCGCAGGTCCAATGTGGAGAACACTTTCGCCCCCTGCAGCTTATCGAAGATCTCCTCTGCCGACTGCATGGGGGGTATCGGTCCGCAACAGTGACCTTATTCAGGCTCCGATGGTCCCCACACATTCGCCTTGCCGATACTTCTCCCGTCAGGTCCTTCCTGGAAGCTACGATAGTCACTGCTGCATAGTCGCTCTTCGACCGCTGGATCAGCCCGGCCTTTTGCAGTTCATTACACTTCTCGACGCAGATGTCTATGTCTCCCGGATTCATTCGCCGTTTCCTCCGGGTCTATATCGGCACTTCACTAGTGAACTCAATCTTCATCTCGTGTGTCTTGCACTTCCCCAACTCCTGCAGCGTGTACGCGTAGGTACCGCGGTGCTGCCTCAGCACTTCCTGCAGTGCTGCCGCTGCCGCACCGTTCATCCCTTCCCCTAAGGTCCAATCCTCCTCGGGGCCCCTTCTGTCCTTTCTCGCCTTCTCCTCTACCACCCCCTTTTCTCCTTCCGTTTCTTCCTCCATCCCTTCCATTGCCATGTACGCCCATCCTTCCTCCACCCGCTCCTCGTACTTTTCCTCCATCCTAGCCAGTACCTTCCGGTGCCACTCAGCTGACTCGAACTCCCGGTTACGTTCACTGAGCGCGATGTCCCGCTGCAGCTCCTTCGCCTTCAGGTGCATTCGAATGGTTTCTATCAACCAGGTCAACACGTTCATGTCCATGGCTCTCCCCATGGTCGCACGACGTTGCAGTTCTGTCACTTCGGGATGCGCGGTCCCTCCCCACAGGTGCCCCATAGCTGCTTCTCTCTCATTCGCCATCGGTTGCTCCCACCTCCCCTTCCTGACATCATAGATCATCCCCGGCCCTGGCAGCTCTCCCTCCATGAGTAATCCTCGGGCCTCCGTGTACGACACCAAGGTCGGCAACGCTTGTCTTGGTTTCCCAGGCTCGTCGCATTGATACTGCGAGGGGTGATCGGGACGAGTGACTGGAGAAGGCATGCAGTTCGGCTCCAACATGTCGCTCACCAACCTCGGTTCTGGCCGTTGCATCAGAGCCAGCGAATGGCGCAACGCCGCTGTCGACATTCCGTTCTGCTAGTATCTCCTCGGTCGGTGTGCCCGAGATCCCAGCTGGGCCGCGTCGGCTGGCACTCCCCTCCCCAATACTTCGAATATCTCAGCGAACGCCCGCTTCACGGGCTCTCTCTTATCCTTCGCCAGGTCAAAATTCTCCAGGATGTACAAGACCTCCCCTTAGCGCCTCTGTATCGTCTCCAATACACGCCAGAGGTTCCGGAATGACGCTCCCCGCGCGTCTTCCATCCCCCTTCCTTCCCCTGCCCTCGAATACCCTTGGCATTCCCATCCCGCTATGACCAGATCCACTTGCCCCCAGTCATCTAGCACCCTCTCTGTGATCTCCCTAACATCGTGCACCCCCTGTTCGGATTCTGGAGGGATGGCTGTCTCCCACATCTGGTCCGGGTACTCTTCGCCTAGCAGCAGAGCGTGATGTTGGGCCATTTTCCTCACTACGGGGTCGCTTTCCACGTGGATCCACTGCTTAACCACGCACCCTGCCCGGAGGAACCCCTCCAAGGCCCAAACTCGGCTGACCCGCTCGGCCAAGGCAGGCGGGTCCTGACCCGCGGTTAGTCTCTCTATCCTCCGTTCATGCTCTTCCCCGTACTTCTCCCATGGCCATTCGTCCAGCTCTTCGGTCAGGTCCTGCTTCCACGCCTGATAGGCCTCCCGCGGCTCTTGCCTAACGAACCTTACCGGTAGCGTGCCCACCGAACTCTCAGGGTCCCAATGCTGCACCTGGTACAAGACCTTCTCCTGCCACGTACATATGGTAGCTCCTACGCGGTATAAGAGCTCCATCCCGACGAGCATATCATAGTCCTCCGACTATGATATCCTGCATTGCAAGCGGATGCAGCAC